AACAAAACACTATTTTTCCATGTACTTTTTGTTATAGCTCTGACCTGGTCAGTATTGTCCGCTTTAGGCTTTGCAACCCTCACGGATTTGTCCCTCAGGCAGGCTTTGCAACCCGCCCAAAAGCGCGCTAACCGGCAGGCTTTGCAACCCGCCAAAAGCGCGCTAACCAAAGGTTAGAAGTACCCCGTCTTATGTAATAGAATCGTATTACCCGTCCTTAACCGATGTGGGATTTGCCTAAGGTGTGCTGGCCTTGCCACCAGTACACCCCCTTGGGGACTCAGCGTGCCTCGGCTGAGGTTTGCCCGCACCACCAGGCCAGAGGCACACGGGCCGACTCTGATAACCATTGTCATTCCTTATTATTTTTATTATTTTTATTAGCTCAAGTCATAATGCTTAGCTATTGGATTATCAATTTTTACTTATGTGGCAAGGCCCAGCAACAGCTTAGGCAAATTCCCACATCGGTTAAGGACGGGATTAAAACGATCTATACATTTAAAGAGGGGTAGCTTCTAAACTTGGTTAGCGCGCTTTTGGCGGGTTTGCACAAGCCTGCCTGAGGGCAAATCCGTGAGGGTTGCAAAGCGCTAAAGCGGACAATACTGACAGGTCAGGATATGAACACTTTTTACTGACCGATGGTTTACATTTAATAATAACACTAAAACACCAAAATGAATTGTGTGTTTTAGTGAAAAAGCAAATTTGATAACTTGAATTTTTTAATTTTTTGTATGAAGCCATCAATTGGTTAGCGCGCTTTTGGGCGGGTTGCAAAGCCTGCCTGAGGGACAAATCCGTGAGGGTTGCAAAGCCTAAAGCGGACAATACTGACCAGGTCAGGACTATGACACTTTTTACTGACCGATGGTTACATTTAATAATAACACTAAAACCACCAAATGAATTGTGTGTTTTAGTGAAAAAGCAAATTGATAACTTGAAATTTTTATTTTGTATGAAGCCATCAATTGGATTGGTGATCTCAATACAAAATAAAAATTATTGTTTATTCATATAATTACTTTTTGCTAATTACTTGTGAGTTACTTTTTCTATTGCACTAAAACCATCAACTCAATTGGTGGTTTTAATGCAACATTCTCTCACCATATCAAGATAAACATTAGATTGATAAATAATTTTGAAATTGTATTAGATTGCAAAATAGTTTTATAAAGAGCACTATTTTTGTCAAAAGGCCCACATGTGACGCCAGGAATTTATATTAAGGGGATAAAAATTTAATTTAAATAAATAACTTAAAGTTAAAGGAGTCAAATATTGAAAAAAGAGCTAAATTCTTTATGATACTTGCGTCCGGCAATAAGTTTTAATTTACATTTAGTATTTTGATTGAAGTTAGAGTTCTTCATTTATTATTTACAATATTCGATAGTACAACATTTATACTACTATTCAGAATTTAAAAATAGTAAATTATTATAAAACATCAGTAATGTTTTATAAGGATTTGGTTATGCAGTGTTTATCAAAATACTTAGAATTTGAGATACTGAATTATAAAAAAAACCACTAATATTAATAAAATGCTGTTAAAACAACTAATGGTTACTAAATTAGTTAATTTGACCGAATAAGTATTTAGTCTTCAGGATATTACTCTATGTGTTTCAAAATATAAATCGTTGAAGGTTTTTGTATAACGATTAATGAAGCAATTAACTTTCTTAGATTACAACAAAATCAAGTGTAATTTGACTAAATTATCATTCATCTCAAAATCAATAGTTATTCTTAAAAATATTTATTGTAGCTAATGTAAATAAGGATAACATTGAAAAAAATTATTTATTACTCATTAAAATACTCATTAAAGAGCTCAATAAAAACTTCATTTGAATCTTCTTTATGAACAAAAAAAAAAAAAAAAAGAATGAAAACTTTTATTTTATAAAATAATTATACGACTTGCTCTTATTGGTAATTTTAGAAGGACTTTACCCATAAAGAATAGAAAGATTTTGTGTATCATGCCTCTCTAGTTTCCAATGGACGCTTAAAATTTCAGAAATTTCATAAATGGTGACACTACGTTTGTCTCCCTCCACGGCTCGTTTGTGTTTTTCGTGATCCCCACATGTCTCCCACTACACAATTTTCTATTTTTTTACTATCTATTTAGGATTTACGTAGCTCGTAACACAGTATAAATTTCGAATATGTATTATCATCCTTTTAAATTTTTATTAGAGTAATAATTACAGTGAATAAATTTTAATTTTATATTTATAATCAGAGTTAATTGTTAATATCGTATTGTTAAAATTATAAATTCAATATGAGACTAATAGTTCAAAAAAATTAAATTTTGTATTGAATAATTTTTTTTGAATTTTTATTAAATTTGAAGTAAATATTAATAAAATTCAAAATTAGTATTTTACCAAAAAAAATAATTAAGGCAATGAGCTTTTAATATTAAGGCTAATTTGGTAATGAAAATATAATTTATCGAATTAAATTCATATAGCATGTAACTATTGTAAATAAAGCTTCAATGGAGGCTTATGAGGGTGAATGTTTGAATGGTTCCAAGAGCATAGAAGTGCCACTATCCTTTGTTTTTTCAGTATCACTTTTTCTTATTATTTGGTGATAAAATGTAATTATTGCACTGTTTAATAACACTAGAATTGTTCCTAAATTTAAACTTTCAAACATAATTAATTCTTTTTTTTTTTCAATAAAAGAGTTAAAGTTGCATCTATTGATTTTAACTCAGTTGACAATGCAGGCTGAGCATGTAGAATGAGCTCTCAGGTTTCATCACCAGAAAGAACACATGCAAGAATGAGTAAAGAGTCTTAATTATGAGTAAATCCCGAATCGAATTTAACCAGTCCTTGATAATATGATCCAGACATCAATTAGCTAATAAATATTTATGTTTAGTAAAATTTTGATAGCAATTTCTATTAAAACGTAAAATAATCATTGAAAACATAATTACTTTTATATATTATGTTATATGATTTATATTTTTTAATGCAAATATATTATTTTTCACTTTATTGTCTTATATAAATAAAAAATATTAATTAAATTTTAAATAATATTTAAATGAAATGTATTATTTTCAAATAATTATAAATAAAATATTAAAAATATTAATTTGAAAATATAATTTTATTCCGAAATATTTTACAAAATTAATAAAGTTAAATATAATATAAATACAAAATAAAAAAAAAAAAAAACCTCCAAAATATAACTTATGAAATCGAATTGATGAATGAAAAGACACCATTCACTAGCTTTAGATTGGGGGGAAGAAATTTTTTTTTATTTTTTATGTTTGCACGATGTATTTACCTGTTTTAAATGTATTCCGATCATATCAATTTTAACTTTCTACATATCTGATATATTCCCACTCGTCTTGGTGGTTTAATTCGAAAGGAATTTATATCATGAAAAATCGAATTTATGATTTAAGCCACGGAGATTAAAGTCAGTAATATAATAATAATATTTTTCATTAGCAACATATTATAAAATAATAGCATTTTTCGTTACGGTCAGTCGGTCATAAGCAAATGATGAAAACCAATATCAATGTCACTTCATAGTTTCAAAGAATAATTGCTCAATTTGTTCACAATTTTTTTAAAAAATAATTTATTTCACAATTATTATTTTAACTTTGTACCTAATAAAGAAAATCACAATGTTTACTAAACATAAAATGACATAATAATTTTCAATATTTTTAACTAATAAAATTTATTAGTCAAAAGCGTCAAATATTGTTTAGATGTTTTATTTTAAATTAAATAGTTTTTGTTAACTAAAAATATTTTTTTTTTGGATAAAAATTAAGCTTTTTAATTTTCATGTAAAATTAAAATGGTAACTATATATAAAAAATAACTTTTGAACAAAATATATATTACCTTCAAATTTAAATAAATTGAGGATATTTATAGTTTCAAACGAGGAGAGACATTAGGGTTGAATCGGCAAAAGAAAAGGAGAGAATGAAGCAAGAAGCAGACACGTGCACGGCGAAATGAGAATCCCATGTGGATGATAAAGACAGAGCATCTTCCATGCAAATATTGACCTTGTTAATTTATTTAATACATATAAAAAATTGAGAGTTAAAAATAAAATTTCTTTCTAACAGTATTATCTATTTAATCTGTGAGTCTGACGTTTAAAAAAAATATATATTATCTATCACACTCTTTATTTTTAGGAGATTTGTTAAATAATGTGATTCAGCTTTTTGATCCCTTTTTTCTTATTTTTTATTTTCTTTTATGTCTTCTCTATTATTTATGCTCGAATTTATTCTTGAGCTGAAATTGATTTATTCTTTATACATTGGACAACCATATTTAAAATTTAATATATATAAATATAGATTCAGCCATATCATTATCTATAATTTTTATTTATTAAAACACGTCGGCATAATCTATGCTCTAAGAAATTGTACATGTAGCGAGAGCGGGTCCAGTTAGCCGAGTGGGTCTCTGTGTTGTACAAAAATATAATGAGTGCAATTTGAAAAACAAGTACCTGTCTTTCATTCCATGCGAGTTGATTAACTAAAAATCTGGAGCAAGTGATACATGAGCAGAGGCTGGCCTTTCGGCCCATTTATATGGGCTCAAGAGGCTTTATCTCTGCCAAAATCACAACTGTGAATTATTTATCCTACATAAATAGGCAAATAGGTAAATGCCAATTCTTCTAATACAAATTTTGACATATCAATAAAAGATGACATATATCAATACATCATGTTAGACAAAAGAAAAGCCATACAATAATATTCAAAGCGTACATATGTTCTTATCATCTTCAGCCTCTACAAATAAAAAAATAATCAGTTTTCATTCTATTCAGAAAAATAAATAAGATAAATCTTTTTTTTTTTTTTTTTATTGAGAGAGGCTTATTTTGGGTAGTTTAAAATCAAGAAAGAGCAAACTCAAGCCTTCCTGGTGAAAGAAAAGCCCACCATCCCTTTTCCATTTTACACGTAGCCTAAGATAGTCACCTAATTAGCTAAACCCATCCCCTGAAACAAGCCCAGTCGTCAACTACAAGTTCAATCTTCCATCCATTCCATATACATAATATGACCTTTTATACCATATTCATATTACTACGTTCTTACAACGAAAGCAAGACAAAGCGGAGACTTGAGACGGAGAAGAAAAGAATCAAGAGGGGGGAAGAAAAAAGAAATGAAGAGAGAGACGTTGACATTGGTTTTGGTGAATCTAGCTGGGATTATGGAGAGAGCAGACGAATCTTTGCTTCCAGGAGTGTATAAAGAAGTAGGTGCTGCTTTGCACACAGATCCTACTGGACTTGGTTCTTTAACTTTGTTTAGGTCTATAGTACAGTCCTCTTGTTATCCTATAGCTGCTTATTTGGCTGTTAGGCATAACCGAGCCCATGTTATAGCTCTTGGTGCTCTTCTCTGGTCTGCTGCTACTTTCCTCGTTGCCTTCTCCTCCACTTTCTTTCAGGTAATTTGCACATAACCTTTTTATTTTGCGTGTCTGTGTGTTTGGTTGCTGGTAAAATGGAGGAAAATTGAGGAAATTGAACATTGAGGCGTTTTGATTGTAATCTTGTGTTTTTTCATTGTCTGGCTTACATAAATTAGAGAGTCAAGTTGACCAAGTCAAATTCTTCGAATTCGTTGAATCGGATTATGAACTTATGATCAAAGATTGGATCATTGTTAATGTTGATTCTTGTATTGTAATTGGGATAAGATTGCTGATTTTAGAGTTGAATGCTGGAAATTTTTATGTAAATTAATAATTAGCTGTCATAAATGGTACATAGGAATAGAATAAGATGAGAATATTCTTTCTTTATTGGTGACTGAGATCCATATGACAAAAACTTGGCTGCATGGTGTAAATTGTATGTTGGGCTCAAAGGAAAGGCTTTTGGGGGAAGTCGAAATTGCTCACATGGAATTTTAAAGATCAGTATCAGGAGTAATAAAATTTCTGGTTGCTTGAAATTTGAAAATCAAAGAATTGTCTGGTTAATTCTAATAGATTGTTCAAAGAATTGTCTGGTTAATTCTAATAGATTGTTCATGTAAATTTGAAATAATTGCTGCAATATATATGAGACTTTTATGTAACACTTTTTGACAAGAAATCATTAGACGTTCAAGAAAATACAATCTAAGTGCATAATCCTTAGCATACCAGGCTGATTTTATTGATTTCAAGTCAATCAGCTTTTATCGAACAGGTAGCTGTATCCAGAGCTTTGAATGGCATTGGACTTGCAATAGTTGCACCTGCAATCCAATCCCTTGTTGCTGATTCAACTGATGATAGCAACCGCGGCACAGCTTTTGGATGGCTACAACTAACAGCCAATCTTGGTTCAATTATTGGGGGACTTTGTTCAGTATTGATAGCTCCAATTACATTTATGGGAATCCCTGGATGGAGGCTTTCATTTCATCTTGTTGGAATTATTAGTGTCACAGTAGGCTTACTAGTCTACCTATTTGCCAATGATCCACACTTTTCAGATGATAGTATGAAAGCTAGAAATCAAGATTCAAGTAAGTCTTTTTTGTCAGAAGTGAAGGATCTGGTTCAAGAAGCCAAATCCGTCATAAAAATTCCATCCTTTCAAATAATTGTTGCTCAGGGCATTACTGGTTCATTCCCTTGGTCAGCTATGACATTTTCAGCAATGTGGTTAGAGCTTGTTGGTTTCTCCCATCAGAAAACTGCGTTTCTCGTATCATTGTTTGTCATTGCTGGTTCATTGGGTGGCTTGTTTGGTGGAAAAATGGGGGATATACTTTCGACGCGTCTCCCAAATTCTGGCAGAATAATTCTGGCACAAATAAGCTCTGCGTCAGCTATTCCTTTAGCAGCATTGCTTCTGCTGGGTTTACCTGATGATCCATCAACAGCATTTATGCACGGACTTGTCTTGGTTATCATGGGGTTATGCATCACTTGGAATGCTCCAGCTACAAACAAGTAAAGTATCTCAAACTTGCGTTCCATTTTTTTTTCTTCTTTTCTTATCAAATATTAAACAAAAATTCTTGGTGATGACAATTATTGTTGTCTTTGCAGTCCAATTTTTGCAGAAATTGTTCCGGAGAAATCCCGGACAAGTGTGTATGCATTGGATCGGTCTTTCGAGTCCATACTGTCATCATTCGCTCCCCCATTAGTAGGAATACTTGCTCAGCATGTATATGGTTATAAACCCCTTCCTAATGGATCCACTGAATCTGAAGAGATAGCTACAGATAGAAAAAATGCTGCTTCATTAGCCAAAGCTTTGTATACAGCAATAGGAGTTCCAATGGCCTTGTGTTGTTTCATCTACTCATTCCTATATGGTACTTATCCAAGAGACAGAGAGCGAGCACAGATGCAAGCATTGATAGAGTCAGAAATGCAACAGTTGATGCTAGATGATGAATCAACGACAAGTATAGAATACAGTCAAGTTCAGTTACTAGAAGCTGGAGAACTATATGTTAAGAACAGAAGTGTTATTGAAATGGAGTATGAAGGGGAGAATGTTGTTGATCTCGACGATGATGATGAGAAGATGATGCTTTATCGGCAGTTGACATTTTCTAACTTAGGTAAATAGCAGAATTTTGAGTTTGATAATGATGGTGATCGTAAGAAATTAATTAATATCCTTCGTCCCTTTTGGAGAATGTTGAAAGAAGCTGAAGTGAGTTTTAACTACAATGGCTCTTCATTTTGAGTTTTTAGTCGTGAGATAAACTTCAAGTTTCTTGGTCGGTCATTGCTGGGAAGTTCTTTTGAGGATTAGGTAGGAGTGTGAAGAATGAGAAAGATTGAAAGGTTTAAGCTTGCTGTGTTGGATTTATAGGTTTTCTTTTTTTCTTTACAAATTTGCATTTTTATATTTTTTTTTTTTTTTCATTAACACGTTTCATCAGCCCCTTAACAAGAAAGTATACCTATAAACATGATTATTTCAAGCCAAGTCCTTCTATGTGTTTTCAAGCCTCTATTTTTCTTGCTTTGTTCCTCCTAATTAAATAATTTCCTTTATTGAATGCTTTTAGATCTTCCATCTGCTATAAAAGTTTGGCCTCATTGCTATTTTTCTTATGCTTTCTTTCACATCAAACCCCTTCGTCCTTTAATAGAAACCCAAATTGAATTCTCAAAAACCTGGATTACAGAAGCCAAAATAGCATAAGGTGCAACTTCTGGCCCATTTCTCTCCTTTTTTCATAGCAGCTCATAAAAAGGTTTAATTTCATAGTTACATGATGCACACTCTTCTCTCTGTACAAACTAAACATCAAACATTATACAAGAGATACAAACTGCACAAAACATTATCAGATGTAAATATGGCTCACTAGACCAATTTATTGAGATGGGACGAAGAACACCAAGGAATTGAATGCTTAGCCAGGTTTTCTAGCAGAAAACATCACAAATTGCCTATTCCTTGTAGCTGTAAATCCAACAAGCCCACAGGCTCTGCATATATCTTCTAGTTCACGCTCACGAAGGAAGATTTGACTGCCTGATACTTGTGCAATATTCTACAATGTAATGCGTGATGGTTAGAGTCTAATACTTTCAAGCAAGGTTTATTGAATAAACTTGAAAACCTTGGGGAATATCATATTGAAATGAAGTCTGCTTAATAGTGAAAAAGGAAAATTAAAATTAAGTCCATAAGTTCCTATCATGAGACTACTCATGCAAACCAGAGGGATTAGCAAGCGAAATGGTGAATAGAAAATATAATGAGAGGAAAGAATTGATCTGCTTCTAGTTCTATCCCATTAACTAAAACTGTGTTGTTTTCCAGACCATATTTTCCAAACAATAATTTTAAATAGAAGTCTTTGAAGTACAGCCATTAAAGTTTCAAAACAAAAGAAATATACATGTACCTGGCGCAGTGGACCCAAAAGTGGGACAAAATTGAAAGGCCCATCAAGTATATAGGTGCTAGCAACAAGAACACCTCCAGGTCTCAGAACTCGGCTTATTTCAGCTACCTATAAAACCATAGTTAAAAAATCAAGAATCCTACACTGGCAGAAATAAGGGATTGGAATCATTGAAAGCACACTGACCAATAAGGCAGGAAAGAACCTAACATGCTTCTCAAAGAAATGGCACAAGTGCCTAGTTGCATACTGCTAATGAGGGAATTTCAACTAAGCAGAACAACTGGTGTAAAATGCCAGAGTAAAGAAAAGCTTACAGCCACTGATGGTGAAGGCCAGCAATGTATAGCAGCACCAGCATGGACAGCATCGACAGAACCAGAACGAAAAGGAAGTCTAGAGATATCAGCTCTGACCAATATTAAGTTCCTAAAGGAATAAAACTCGGTCAGAGGTGAAGTCTTATATCATAAAATTAAAGAAACCAAAAAGATATTCCTGCAGATACAATACCTAGTATATTTAGAAGTTCCAACCAATTGAAATGGGTTCATATCATCCAATAAATAAAGTGATGTTTAAATTAAAAGATATGATTCATACTCTTTGGGAAAGTTCTCCTCCTGCTTGATAAATTCATAGCATTGCCGTAGCATGTTTTCTGAGTAATCCAGTGCAACAACAAGAGAAAACAATCCACTCTTGGCAAAAAGTCTTGAAAATAACCCACTACCGCAACTAGCATCAATGATATTTTTGCCTAAAACTGGCTTCAGGTAATTTTTTATCAAATCAAACTGCAGTTCAAAATTGCTATTTTAGTGGCTTTACCACAGAAGGAAATAGATAAATTTAAGGACATGCATTAGCAAAATCTGTTTAACATGGCTCCTATTTATTGAATGACACAAATTATTGCGAAAGACAGATCTTGCATATGTTAGCATTTCAAACAGGATAATTTTGTATTAGGCAACAATAAAAATCAAAAGGAGTTTGTTTGCTTTTATGTGCTCCGACATTAACTAGGCCCTTTTACCAGACCACAAAATGAAACTTAAGATGAGTGATGAGCGCTTCATTATGCATTATGATGTTTTTCTTAAAATCAAAACCTTCAAATATGAAAAAAATGAGATGGAATATAGTTTTCAGAGACAATTCAAGTGAATATATCATAATTTAATATAATGAACTGCAAAAATTGATATTCATTCATCAACCTACAACTTCAACCTCTTAATAATTAGCAGTACACCAATTTATGTTTTACACTGTGTGATATGTGTGAGTATGCAAACCCAAACATGGGCTTGTGGGGTGGAGCAGAGGCGTAGAAGATAGCCATTGAGCGAACTCTGCAAACGAAAAAAAAATTTGCTGACAAAAGTTTCAACACAGAAACTGTTCTATTACCTCTTTCTCAGGGCCTGGGAAACCACCCCATATGAAACTTTGACGCCAACCTCTTTCATAGAGAAATGATATCAATGGAGTCCTGATTCAAGAAATTATTAAATTACATGAAAAGTTAGATGTAAAACAAAACTCCAATGTGGTACTTGATAGTTTCATACTGATTGGGCACCATAGCACCAAATGCATTAGCAGTGGCCTAAAGAAACCAAAAGGTTATATCCTTGCATCATAACACCAACACGAGTAGACAGTACAAGTCAGTGTTTTATCCACATAATAAAAGCTAAGGGAAATTACACTATTCATGTACAATTAAAAGCTGTATCTATGTTGCAAAATCCAAAACAAACAAGGTTGTCACACGAGACTATTGGGAAGATGTATCAATCACAAAAATAAGTACCTATACTTTACCCAAAGAAACTAGTTTATAGCAGCAATTAAAATTTCTTCTAGTTGCTTGTGTAGTTCAAATTGATTAACTACATGTATAATTAGTGACACAGTAGGTGCCAACTGCCTTAAAATGACAGTTACGATCTCCCCATTGGGCTGCTTTACATGGAGTTCAGATATCAAATTAATAAACAAGTTCACCCTTTTCTTACACCTGTAAAGTTAGAAACAGTTTGCAAAGACAGAAGCTATTAATTCCATGAATTGCTGATCTGAAACAAGAGGAAACAAGAGGAGATGTAGGAGTAGAAGTAGGAGTATAAAATATGACTTGCCCACTATAAGGCTACTAGAAGCCACTATAAAGTCTGTAATTGCTGAATTGCTGAAATCCAGATACCAATTCCAATTTATGAATCTATTCCCATCTAAATCCCAATGCAAATGTATTCGAACATTACCTTATAAAAAAAAAGGAATAAAATATAATAAGGATCGTATTTCCACACCTGAAAAATTCAGTAGCCAAGGGCTTAGTATCATCATATGTTCTAAGCCCACTCGCCACAGTCAATTCAATGTGTGTTTCCTTGCCAGAGTAACTCTTCTTACAACACCCGCATTGCAAAATAGACCCGGCAGTATCTCTGCAACAAAATTCAAACATTATTAAACCACAGAATCCAAACAAAATCATATTCATTTATTAAGGAAATAACATTTCCAGTGAAGTAACTTACACAGACAAGACGCTATCACCTATCAAAGATAAAGGCTCGTAACATATGGGACAGGCTAAAATGTTCTTGCCAGTATTCGCCTCTTTTTCTACCACAACAGGATCCTAATCAAAAACAAAGTCGCTTTGCCATTAATTTTGCAAAAATTGACTAGAACTGCAATCAACCAACCAAAACGATAAGTGAATAGAAAAGCAAACCGCTGGCTTGGTTTCGACGAAGGCTGTAGCAGAAGAAGCGCGAATTTTTGCCGCGAAATTGCGGTGTTTGAAGAGCGGCGTATGGCACCAGTTTAACAAACAGCGCCTCGAGTTGCATAGTTGACTCCCGATAAACACCGACGACGAGAGAGCAGTCGAAATTGCTGTAGCCATAGATTCTTTTTTTCTCTCTGATCAGAGAGAGCTCGATTAGTTTTTGAGTGAAGTTGTTTAAAATACTTGCAATATATAGAAAAGAAAGAAACGGCTAACGTGTCCTATTATTTGCCTGAAAATTAGAAGAAAAGAAAAGCATTGATATTGTGAGTGACAACATTGCCCTCTTATTTAATAAAATTTTAGTCTAGATTTATTTTAATTTTCAATAACTAATTCTATTATTTAAATAATAAAAATTACCTATATATTTTTAATATTCTCGTATATCAATATTAATATTATTTTTAAATAAAAAATCTAAATTACTTAAAATTTGAACCAAATGAAAAAAATGAAAGTAAACATATATTTAGAGGGAGAGAGTTATAATTTTCCGATTTCTTTTATTAATTTTCATAAATATTTTATATTTTTCTTACGTAACTTATTTTCTTATATATCTATATTCATATTTGTATTAGTATGGTCTATCTATTTACTGGATTATAGCGGCTAATGGTTCTCTCTTTTTTTGCTAGATTTACCACTAGCGACTGATGATTGTTGCTTGTTAGCTTATGGATATTTATCGTTTTGTAAAATTTTAATATCAGTTATATTAATATAAATTGATTATAGTTTTACTTCTATAACAATTTTTGATTTAGCTCCAGCGTTTTGAACAGGTTAAAACTTTATTTCTATTAATTATAATATATCTTCTTTTAGATGTTGATGAAATTTTTCATGAAACGATAAATACTCTTACATATAGTTTTTTTTTTTTTTTTTTTTTTATAATACAACTTAATTAAAAATTAAATGCAATCTCTATTATTCACTATGTCATTAGATATGGCTATCTATTTACCATAGGGAATGACTCTTTATGCCTTTATCGTATATAAGCGGTCTAATTGGTCTACTCTTTTCTTGCTTTGCTAGATGACCTTGCTGACATAGCGACTGAATGGACTTGTTGCTCAGGTTTCTACGCTTTGGATATTTATCGTTTTGTAAAAATTTTAATAATATCAGTTCATATTAAATATAAAATTGATTATTAGTTTTACTTCTTATAACAATTTTTGATTAGCTCCAGCGTTCTTTTGAACAGGTAAAACTTTATTTTCTATTAATTATAATTATATCTTTCTTTTAGATGTTGATGAAATTTTTCATTTGAAACGATAAATACTCTTACATATAGTTTTTATTTTTTTTTTTTTTTTTTGAGTAAAAGGACATGAAGTTTTTTTACTTCTAACGGCTTACGGCTTTTAATTTAAATTTTTTTTTTTTTTTTTTTTTTGAGTAAAAGACATGAAGTTTTTTTACTTCTAACGCTTAGCTTTTAATTAAATTTTTTTGGACGATCAATACTCATTGATCTTCCTTCGAATTCAGCTAGCAGCTACTACAACATTTAACAATTACTAAAATAGTAATATATTGCTGAATATAAATACAAGTCTTATACTAAGATATAGTTTAGTAAAATTATCAAAAAATATATATATATATAGTATAGTAATAAGTTCATATACGATCTAACAATAAATTCAAGTTTAAATTCGCTTCTTCAATACCTAAATAAAAAGTACAAATACAAATCAACAATTAGTTAATAGGAAAACAATTTTAAAACTTTAGTTGATCGGAACTTTTATGCCATCTCAAACTTAAAATCTTTGACATAACATAATAATTAAATATAAATACCCAGTAAAATTGAAACAAAGAGAAAGTGGCTCTCTTTTTAGTTAGCGTTTTATTTAAAAAAAAAAAAAAATAGCAATCACAAGGTGCAAATGTGCAATTGCACATTTAAGTTGTTTTGACATTTGGCTCATTCTTAAATTGGTGGCCAACACTTTTTGTGCTCATTCTTAGATACTGACATTCGCTCCAAAACAAACTCAGCGCTGTAATGTTTTCTAGAAAAATATGTAATCGTCATCATTAATCACCTATATGTTATTTTTTTAAAAAAATTTTTTTTAGAGTTACATCTATTATTCAATTATATTTATTTTGCTTTGTTATAAATAATTTATTTTTTTTCAATTTTTTTAAGGATTAAATTAATTTAGTTTTTAAAATATTAAAGTATAGCACCGATAAATATTAAAGTTTAGATTTTGATGGTAGGTGGATTGAAAATTTTGCATAATAGAACTAAATAAAATTTATTTGCAATACGTAGCTGATTTGAGGGTATCATACTAATTTTGGAAGGATGTTGATCAACTTTAGTAAGTTAAAGAACATTAATTTTTTCCTGAATTGCAATATTTTAAAATAAAATAATTTATTGGCAGGCTTAACGAAATAATATGATGGGCTAGATAATAAGTAGTAGCCCTTTTCTTACTCACCAAAAGAATGAAAATTTTGTGGCGAAAGACTTCAAATTTGAGATTTCTCACTTCTCACATTAGTGAAAAAGCTAATCAAATATTTTAGAATATAAATATTATCTCTGTCAATAAATAAATAAAAATTCATACTGTTCATACATTTTAATGTTATCATGCCTTATATATACTTAAATAATGGTACCATGGAACTTAATATAATTAAATTAAGATGCATAATTAACTAAAGCATGGAATATGGTTTTGATTCACTTGCTATTATGATAAAAATAATGTGTTTTATAAAACTATATACCAAAACAATGTTGTTCTGAAACTAATTCTACAAATGTGTTCAACTTTTGGAGGATTTTAATTACACCTGATCTGTCAATTGAAAAAATAGATTCAGAATACAATGAAATAACAAAAGTTGCCCACCCTATGATAGCGTTTGGAAGGCAAATTGATTCCAACGTGAATTGATAGAGACGTCGAGAGTAGTTATGAAAGAAAAATAAGTAAATATCAAGTGTCTCGTCTGATTGGTCTTTCTATTTATGCAGAGAGCGTGAAGTCTTAAATTTGAGACCTTTTGATTAAAAAAATAAATAAATATTTATAAAATATATAATTTATTTATTTAATAAGAGTGCAATTTTGCGATCATAATTAGTGAAGAACTATCTCTTTAAAATTTTTTTTGGGCAATGTCAGCAGAAAAAAAAAAAAATTTTTTTTTCTTTTCTTGTTCAAAAGAATTGGGTCGTTTTGTTACATGTTAATTGGGCCCAATGCTAGACCATTTTAAATGCAACTCTAGCCCAAGTTATTCCTAGGTCCAAATTTTTATAACTGAAAATGTTATTTTTGAGTCTTCTTTTTTCAGTAATAACATAGTACAAGTAATTTACATCTCAAATTACCAAAAATTAAGGAGATAACTATCAAAAGTAAAAAAGAAAAAAGAAAAAAGAAAAGGAGGTAAATCTAAATATTGTTGGAAAAATCTTTTGTGAAAATAAATATCAAATAGATAGTGATGGGTCTAGGCATAACCCCTATCTAAATAATAGGTCTAGTTCTAAACTTCTAAGTTCTAACACCCAAACAACAAAGAATTCAGGAAAAGTAAACAGCTTTAATGTTGGTACTGGAAAAAGAAAGATGAGTTCAAACAATGAAAGCATCATCCAGTACAAAATCTCTCTCTCTCTCTCTCTATATATATATATATGTGTGTGTGTGTATGTGTGTGTGTTTTTAACATAATGTTAGAGAATTAATAGCATATTAAGTAACAATTTATATAACTTTTAATGACATGATTTAGTTACTTAATTCATAGATTTTAATTATTTCAGTAATTATTGTTTTATATTAATTTCAAAATAATTTATTTAAAATTAAATTGAATAATTATTTATTTATTAAATAAAAATTATGGTAAATGTAGTTGATTAATTATAACGTTAAAGAATTAATAACATGATAAAGTGATAATTTATACAAACTTTTAATTATTTAAATAAATTACTTATGGATTTTAATTATATAAGAAGTTATTTTTATATTAATTCTCAAATAAAACAAATTAATGAATTCTACCACTTTCATTTTACTTCTTTCTTTTTATTTATCTCTATAAATTTCAACCATTTCAATCTATACTTCTAAACACGTGTTTATCCACTAATTTTTACTCTCATAATTAAAAAATCACGACTATATTTTTTTTCACTATCAATCTATCTTTATTTATATTTTTTTAATAGTATAATAAAAAAAATTTTCACTCAAGAATCTATACATATTCTTTCAATTTAATTTTTTTGAAGTGTGCATAACACGAGAATATTGCAGTTATAGATATATAACACATTTTTTATAACATGTATTAAATATTTTTACAAGTACAGCACTTGATGAATGCATTTTTCCTCTTTCTATAAATAAATATTTTTAAAACAAATTTTGGAAGTGTCAGTTTGATATTCAATAAAGGATGGAGTTATTTTAAACCACTCTTAAGCGGTTCCAAAACTAATAGTTTTGATCCGGTTTCTATTTGAATACGAAATTAGATAGTAATTTTTTTTCCAATTCCTTTTTCAATTGTTTAAAATTTCTTTAGTTTTACACATGAATAATAATACATTATTATTACAAACTAAAATAGTTTAATAAAAAGTCATATAATTACTAAAAAATATTTGTGCTGCAGTTTGATTTATTAGAAAGTTACGAATATATAATTAAAAGTGAAACATTTCACAACAAGCCCGTCTGGCTTAGTCCGTAGAGTGTAAGGCTCTTAATCTTGTGGTTGTGGGTTTGGGCGAATGTATATTTTTTTAGTGTCAATTACCTCTTTTTTTTTTTTTTTTTTTTTTCACCAAACCAAGCCCAGTCTGGGCTTAGTCCGCTTAGAGTGTAAAGGCTCTTAATCTTGTGTGCGTTGGTGGGTTTGGCGCGAATGTATTATTTTTAGTGTCAACTTACCTCATTTTTCTTTTTTTTTTTGGGCAAATAATTTCTGATGTGATTTCAATATTTCCACTATACTAGTATGCACTGGGACATTTCTAATCTATATGTTTTGACACTTGAATTTCCCTCTGTACATTAAAAAACTAGCTCTCAATTTCGTTCTAGGAAATGTGGTCCTCACCTCTCTCACCTCTTGAAAAAACTATGTTCTAATATATTTATACTATA